TTTCTTGTGAGCGTACTCACCCTATAGCAAAAACCTCTCTAAAAAAAAAAAAAATAGAAAACTCCCTTCATCTAGTGCCCATTCAAATTCTGCCTTCATGAAGCCAGATTATGAAAGAGAGACACTGTATGTCCCCACTTAATATATACTGAATGTCCACACTCCATGGCAGAAACTGAAAGCTGGTAAGATATAGAAGCATGGAGAGCACTGCAAGCAGTGGGGGAGGCGAGTGGGAGGTGGGACAGGGTGAGAGAAAGAGATTCAAGGGGAAAAACAGAGAGGCAAGGCATTTAAGGAACAGAAATGGAAGATTGTCCATTGATGCTAATGTGCATAATGATATCTTTAGCTAGACTGGTGTGCAGTGTATTCAAGTTGGGAAAATTCATTTTACAAGCTGTGGTGATGTACAATGTTGGAATGTATAAAATAAATTTTAAAATTCTGCCTTTATGTCTTTTTATCTGTCTTAGTCTCACTATCGATATAATGAAAAGCCTTATCTCTTCCACTTTAGAATTGTTTTGAGGACTTTGTAAGATAATGATTAGGAAAGTGTCTTGTGGCAAGGAGCTACAGCACCAAAGAGGTGTTTTCCATGAAGTGATACTGATCATGAGTGGTAACCAAAGTTTTCCCAGGGAAGAAGTAGGATTCCTCCAGGATTATTTGATTCAGCCAAATATTCTGAGAGGTTAAACTATTCAGGAAGTGACAAGAGTTTTGTGGCCAGTTCCTTGATAGGGTAAGAAGGAATGCTGAAAACATTTGATTACATAGCATCTGTTAGCTATTTCACTCAAATAAGGTTTCTGAAAAACCTGGGTGATAAATATTCTGGAAGTCCACAGTGATAAAATGAAGTGTTCTGAGTGATGCTTGTCAGAAGCCACACAGCCCGTGGGCCCAGGAGATGACCTCGCACTTAGATCAAGACAGCTTTATTGTCCAGGTAACACACGTTTATTTCACTGAACTCCAGCACGCAAAGTCTATTACTGGCTTAATGAAATTTAGCTTTATCTAGATCAGGAAAAAATATCCCATGCCTACATCTTTGCCATAAAATATAAAACATACTTTGTTTATTTCTCTATTATATTACATTATGGTGGGCTCTGCATAAGCCTGTCTCCTCTGCAAGACTGGAATCTTTTCTATGCAGGGGATAGTCCAGTTTATTTAAACATTTGCCATGTCTAGCATTGTATCTAATGGATAGTAAAGATTCCAGGAATTTATTAAATGACTCAACTTTTTACTTGCAATGCTTTAATTTTCATTCCTTTTTTTTTTGCCAGTAAACAATTTCTCTTTCTTATTTAATTGCCAGAGAGAGACAGAGAAAGAGAGAGGAGAGAAGAGAAAGCACCTCCCAAGGGGGCATAGGCATTCTTCCTCTATGTCTCCATCCTGTCAGGATTTGGGTCGTGCCTGCACATGTGTCTGGTCAAGTCACCAGGGCTGGGATTTGAACCACAGTTGGCCATGTAGGAGTCAACTTCCTTAACCACTAGGCTACTTGGCCAGTCCAATGACTTCTCCTAGTTACTTACATCTGGTTATATTCTTAGAGAACCTGGGGTAAGGTTTGACTTTTGCCCTTGTCTGTGTTAATCCTGCAAAAGGGCCCCATAGCTCCATTATGGTCTTGAGTGCAGATACATGTGCTTGTTGGTTCTCGGTAACTTCTTTTGGGGGCTTTTCTGATGAAAGTACCCACCCTTTAACTCTAGTGGGAGACTTGTCCTGGTTCTATGGTGCCAGCATGAGGTCCAGCCCAGTTACTGTCTTTCTTTCTTTGTCTTTTTTGGAAAGGTTTTGCTATAGGGCGCGTGCACTCGCCAGAAAGAGACAGTGAGACAGAAAGCGAGAAATCACCCCCCACTGGGGATGGCCATGCCACAATCCCTTCTCCTCCATTCTCCTCTTGGGATCTTGGGCACACATGCACATGCACCTGGCGTGAGTTTAAGCCGCCGGGTCTGGGACGCGAACCGCAGTCGACTATATGGGAGTCCAGCGACATAGCCATTACGCTAACTGCTGGTCCCGAGCCCAGTTATTGTCTTGACACAAGTCCTTGTTCTCCTTCACACTGTGCTCATCTGCATCTTCAACCCCAAATCTACACAACAAATCTTTCGTTACCCAGTCCCATGCTTTCTCTGGTTGTCTGATTCAGCTCCCATTTAAGTACATGATTATATTCGTGTATTTCCTGCAAATTCCTTATTCACATTCACCCTTTCCCCTGTTTCCTTGGCTTGGCATCCATGCGGCTTCTTAGACTTCTCTGTGGAGATATGTTAGGATAATACAGGTGTCAAGAATTCACACAGATGCCTCGTAATCTGAATCTTCATTTTCCTGACTCCTGGGTTATTCCTATACCCTCAAAATTAAAGCTAAAATTCTTTAGTTTAGCATACAAGGTCTTCGCAATCTGACCTGAACCTACCCTGTGGTCTGATTTCTCCCAACTCCCACCACCACCCAGACCCTGGTATCAACACACCACATCACTTTTTTTTTTGGAGAGGTTTTTTTTTTTTTTTTTTTTTTTTTTTTTTTTAAGGGCGGGGGGTTTT